GACACACACATCAAGAGCTTTGCTCCTCGTCTACTTAATGTACAAATGTTCACCAGTTTGAAGATGTTTTTTGTGTATTTTCCTCGAGGTAACAAGTTTTCAGGTACCTTTTTAATCTTATTCAAAAGAAGTTGCAATACCAATATAATAAATACCATATTTACGTCCAATTTTGTTTTTTACTCGAATAAAACTCTTGTTCCAAAACAGCAAATCCATTTACATCTTGTCCGTCTCTATTGTTTTTTCCATTTCCATTCAGATATTTGAATTTTATATATTTTTTATTTATCAAGACTAAAAATATTGTTATTGTTATTTATAATATTAATTAATTAAAAACATAAAAAAATGTTTTATATATAACATTTTCACCTGTTTTTCCTGTGACAAGAATATGTCGTGGAAAAACAAAAGTTGATTTGAGTCATTATTATTAAAAAATATTATAACTTGATTTAACACTTTCGCGTTCCATTTCTTTTTTATTTTATAAAAAATCTTTTGCTGTGAAAAAATTTAAGTTTTGCAATTTGTTTTTTTGAAATAATAGTTGAAATAACCGTTCGCATTCCTGACGACATTTTTTTGCAACGATCTTAGTAATATTATAATAAGACATCATAACAAAAACAACTAAGATTTATGAATCAATTTATTTCTTCACTTTTTTAAATCCGAGAGTACGTCGTGAATTAACACATAACTTATTGATTGTCGTTTTGTGTCGTTTACGCTCACATTTCCACGACACTTGACATAGAGAACACATGTTTTAGCAACGATGCCTCTTGTAAGCATTACACATCAACTTTGTCTTTTCGTATAATACATTTTGTTTAATTTTTATTATTCGTTAAGCTCGGCCACGGAAACGAGCGCGTAAATGACACAAAACTGCAAGTCGAAAATAGAAGGTCAGTTGAACATTACAGTGTTACAATCGACAAACTTTCCTTGTTTTTTTTTAATTTTTATGTGCTTATACTTTAATTAATAATTTCAAGATGAGTATTGATTAAAAAGTGTTTTGTGTTACAAATCAAAAAGGCAAAATAATTCGATTGGTATATAACAAAAATTAGTTGTTTTAAAATGTCTTTAAAAACGTAAACGTGTTAATGGCTCTCAGGTCAAACCACAAATATGTTTATGATCTTCTCGAAATAGTAAGGTTTGTTTGTCCTTATTTCCTTTTTTTTCAACAATTTTGCAAACTGTTATTTAAAAATAATTAATAAATTTTAAATAAAATAAAGTGTTTTTAAATTTAAAAATGATAATAAATGTTTTAATAAATTTTGCAAAAAACCCTAAATGGTTTTATAGCATATACCAGTGAATTTGAAAATATGTTTCAAATTGTGATAATAATTTTTTAATTTTACAAATAAATTATTTTTAATTGGCAAAATTAAAATACGTGAATTTGACCAACTTTTTGACAAACATTTAAATTTTTAGCAGAAAAATAAATCCGAAAGTTCGAAACTTCGAACTTCATCCGAGAATTTATATATATAATACATTTATGAGACGAAAAAAGCAGCAAAGAATCGACCTTTTGCGAAATAATGAATCGGATTCATTTACATAAAAATTGGAGTTTTGTGTTTTGGTTATGAATTGTATTGAAATTTATAACAATTATAATTTAAAATATTAAATTAAATATATTAATACTTCTCAATTTGTAATATTTATTTTAATTTTCATTTGTGAACATCTTGATACCACATGTCATTCGTATTGTTGTATATGTTGTCCTTTAAATCCTACAGTTTATCGATTTCACTTATAACAAAATCGATGATGCAAACTAAAACTAATCTTTTAGAGTGTGTAATTAATGTTAAGCATTCAAATAACGCCACACCAAAAGAACATATATCTGCATTTTTTGAAACATTCTTTGTTCAATATGTCAAGAGCCATATATTTTGGTAAACATTTTTATTGAATGTAATGTCATTCATCAATAAATTCATATTTCTTGTGCTTTTAAAGTTGGTCGATTAAACTATCACCCTATTTTTAAGATCAATTGAAAACACAAAAATATTGTATGACTTTATGTATATGTTTAATTTGTTTTTAACTGAGTATTGTTGATTTATTGTTTGTTTTTATTTAATTACTTAAAATTCACAAAGTAAATTTTAAGACCAATTTAAATTCCAAAACATGTACAGTCGAAAACGTCTTTTTGTTGTGAATTCAGCAGAAAATATGTTTATTTGTCGTTAACGAAAGAATTTTGTAGAAAGTTCATTCTAATAATGAAATATTTTTTACTAAAAAATGGTTTTTAATTTATCAAAAGTGTAAGATTTGAAAATAAAAAAAAATAATTGTCGTACATCTAAACGATTGGCCGATTGTGTGACGAAAAATCAAAATATTCATTTACAATTACAACATATTATTTTTTTTTCATTAATTTATTTTATATAAATAATAAGAATTAAAAAATATTTTCAAAAACAATTGATACATTCAATTTATTAAATGTTTTCAATATTTTACAATTTCAACATCTTTTTGATAAACTTTAAAACATACAAATGTTTTCTCTTAAATTCTTCCACAATGAAAAAAATAAAGTCTCCACAATGCTCCCAACAAAACATTGTAATTTAGACACATATCACATGATGGTTGTCTCAAAATATTTAATTACAATTAAAGACTTTATTACTCTTCAAATGGTCTCTCATAAATATCAAGACTTTATGGAACTTTTTCACTTCAATCCAGTTCCAGTCACAGAAAAGACTTTAAAGTACTTCCCCAACATAGAAACACTCAATCTTTGGAGTGATAAAGTTGACACTTTTGGTAATATAATTTACATCCACAAGTACCCATATAAGCCTCGTGAATCAGACGATTACGATGACAGTCGTTTTAGAAACTTTACTGAAAAACAGTTATACGAATTTAAACACGGCTTTATTAACAAAATAGGCACAAAGACAACATTAAAAATGAACTTTTTCAAAATCAATATTTGGTTTGAAGTTAACTATCAAACAGTTTTGGACAATGAAAAGAACGAAGAAATACCTAAAGAAACAAAACTTTTGTTTGGGAATGTAGTTTATACTAAAAAGGATAGAAAACACCATACAATAGAAATCCCAGTCGACAACAAAACACTGAAAAGGGTCTCTTATATAATTACACAAATAGGAGACAGATGTTTACGAGGACTTGTTTTAAACTGCTATGAGATTCCAAACGGTGTCACAAGACTTTGCTCGAGTTCATTTGAATATGTTTCTGCACTCAAAATTATTCAATTTCCAAAGGGAATTTTGTCATTTGAGTCATACTCATTTGCTAGATGCAACAGTTTAGAGTCAGTAGAGATCCCAGACAGTGTCACGTTTATTGGAGAATACTGTTTTACAAGTTGCCAAAAACTGTCACGTATACAAATTGGGAAAAATGTGAAAACACTTGAAAATGGGACTTTTGAGTATTTACCCGTTTTGGAACAAATTGTTGTACCATCAAATGTCGATGTGATTAAAAGAAATTGTTTTGATGGGTGCAAAGCACTCAAAAGTGTTATAGTGGAAAACAAAAAGTGCTGTATCGATGAACGTTTATTCACAAGATGTTCCAATTTGAAAAATATACAAAATTAATAATCAATACAGATATGTTAATCGTTTATTAAATATATTTAAATAAAAAAATTTATAGTATAAATTTAATAATATAATAATATTTCAAATATGGTATATATAGTAGTAATAATAATATTAATAATCAAATGATAATTAATATTTATTAATAACAAAATAATCAATTATAATAAAATGTTTTTATTGTTATAAAAATAATAATAAATAAACAAAAGTCAAAGATGTTATTTACATATGATTTAGTACTTTGATTGAGAAATTAATTATTCACATCAGCACAATTTTGAGTGTTATTGAAATCATCAGTTGAATATTCATCAACAGAATTAAGACTCGGTTGATTTATATTGAAATAACATGGTTGAATGGTGTTGAAATAACTCATGTCAAACAAAGGAATGGCAAATGGTGTGTTGTTCACATATGAAATGGCGACTGGGACATAGTATATTGGCAGTGTTACGTTTTCATGTATGATATAAGGGGAAGTGCCTTGTGGTGAAGAACAAGTGATGGTTTGGCTTGTTATTTCTTCTTTAATTTCAACACTCTTAATCCCATCTATTTCTTCTTCTTCTTCTTCTTTGACTATGTCTTTACTTCATAATCACAGTCCATTGACTTATCTTCGTTGTTTATCACATTGTCTACAATTGAATCAGTTGATGACGTCATCACATTTATGTTCATTTTGGTACTGATAATTTCCTTTTCATAGTCTTCAAGTGTCACACGTTTGATGTTAGAGTATTGCTTGTTATATGACTGAGGGACGTTACCTAAGAATATCGCCGTGTCGCCTTTACGAGTTTTGCTTTTGATTTTCATAGTTTTGAAACTTTTTGAAAAAAACTGAAGACCACATTTCCCGTCATCTTTTTCAGTCTCACGTCTCCTTTTCAATTCAAAATTGGATATTTTGATGTTGTAGGACGGAATAAGTAACAGTCTGATGCTTGACAGTTTCTTTGTATCTTTTGCTGTCCGTGTTTGTGTTTTATTCTGTTTTTCTGATGGGAAGAAAAAATTGATTTTGTAATTCATGAAGTTCATTAAATACAGCAAGTTGTCATTGTTGTTCATTTCTTCAACTCCTTTGCTTTCAGATATAGTGACACACTCTGATGTATTGATTAATGAACTTTTCTTTATTGGTAATCCATCAGAGTCAAAGACAATGTTTGAGTTTTCAACAAGATATTTTTTGTTCGAGTCGTAGACTAATTTTCCCTTCTCATCAAAGATGTTAGCAATTTCAAAGTGTGAAGCCATCTTAAAGTTTGTTCTTTTATTGTTAAAGACAATGAAAGAATATTTCTTTTTCTTTGCCAAATAACCAAGACAAGAGTGGACATAATAGTATTTAGAATTTGTAGACTCCTGTTTTAATTTGGTGTTCTTTTGTTTGTTGTCTTGGCAGCACGTGCTTTTACTTGAATGACTCATTGTTTGGATTGTTGAGATATTGATATCATATCATAGTAAACGTATTTTAGTTTTCAAAAATATACTTTCTTGTTTAAACAGGGTGTCCAGAATTGGACTTAGCGAAGGTTTCAAAAAACCAAAAAGAATAAGGCATTTTAAACAAGTATAACAAAGTATAACATTAAATAATGTTTTTATTATTAGTCTTTTATTTTGTAAACAAAACTACACCAACTTTTTAAATTAAAACATAAATAAACAAAAAATTAACTAAAACAAATCGAAAGCATTAATGCGTTTTGTTGATAAAAAATCCATTTTTGTTGTAAGACGAGCATCAGTTGTTTCAATTTTCATGTTTGTCTTTTTTAAATAACTGAGATATGAAAAAAGATATTCAACAGCGCACGAGGTTGGTATCAGACAACATATTATATAGCATATTTGTTGTGCAGCAAATAGATTTTCTTTTTTGTACTTTTCAATAATTTTCATCAATGTGATTTCTATATTATTATTACTTAATCCAAAAAGACGAATAACAAACAAACTTTTGTTGAGAGATATCCAAAATTTTTTATCGTTGTTGATCAAATTCATTATATTTACTGATTCATTTGCAAAATCACACAGCCAATCTTGAATTGTTATTGGGTTTCCTCTTAAATACAAATCCGGAAATAAAATATATTTAATAACTCCTCAA